TGCTCTGAGTTTACATCTGAGCAAGGCCTTCCCAGTGGAACTCTGTATCAGGTTATCACTAAACTGGAAAGTGGCCTATAGTGGTACACAAGGATGTGCACAGAGCAAACACTGGGAGTCAGAGGCAGTTTTAGGGTACCTGGCTGCATTGTACATTTTGCACACTCCCACTTTGCTTTCACAGGCATGAAATCTGTTCATATCCACAGATAGCAAAAGAAACACCTGAAAAGCAGGATCTGAAATCACCCTGCAGCAACAGGCCTGCCACGATGACTACTTCAGACACCCCTAGTGGAGAGCAGTCACACTCCTCCCAGTGTGTGACACTGCTGTCATTAGCCCTTGTTTTTCAGGCCTGGCCTCAACCCAGCCCCAGAGTGTACCTGTCATAAACAGCATGGGGAGCAGCCTCACTACCCTGCAGCCCGTCCAGTTCTCCCAGCAACTGCACCCATCCTACCAGCAGCCCCTCATGCAGCAGGTCCAGAGCCACATCAACCAGAGCCCTTTCATGGCTACCATGGCCCAGATACAAAGCCCTCATGGTAAGAACATGAACTCATTTGCCCAAGCAAACAAAAAAATAAAGACTCTGTTCTGGAGCACTTGCTGGGTCCTTGGACTTGCAGCACTCCATTTTCCTCTTCTATTATTGTTGCTTTCATTATGAAATTATTTTTCTCTTGCATTCATCTCCCTGTCCCTCCACTCCCACTGTTTCAGAGACAGGCAGCAGGTCCATGTGCATGAGAAAACTCAGCCAAACTAGTCTCATGCAAAGCTCCAGCATCCACATGATCTTGTTTTCTTTCATGCACAGCTCTCTACGGCCCCAAGTCTGAAGTGGCCCAATACACACATACAGGCCTCTTACCACAAACCATGGTGATAACAGATACCGCCAATCTCAGCGCCCTGACCAACCTGACACCAACTAAACAGGTAATGGCCTTTAGCACATGCCTTTGTTTCCCCCACCTTAGAACTGCACCAGTCTTCTTGCTTGTCAGAGTTTTCGGATGTGTGGTCTATGCCATCTCAGCAGGATGATCTTTCTTATTTCCTCATCTTGCTGGTACCAGCTGCAATACTGGAGGCATTACAGTAAGTTCTTCACTGCATTATCAAGGAGGATTTAATCTCTTTGGACACAGCACCTGGTCACACTTCTCTCATGCCTGTTAGAAGGGATGCAGAAACCAGGCACTACTAACTTTCTTTTCTCTAGGCATTCACATCTGACTCAGAGACTCACACAGAGTCTGGGATGCATACACCAGTGTCACAGGCACCAACAATCCATCTACAGAACCAAGACACAACCATCCAGCACCTTCAGCCAGGCCCTCGCCTCACCTCAAGCCCTGCTGGTAAGAGAAGCAGCCACCACTATCTTAAACCACGTGTTGCTTGTTTCTCTTGACATCCCTGTAAAAGCCAGATAGAAAATGGCAACTGGGGCTCACCATTCTCTACCAGTATGTTTGAAAATCTGACAAATGGAAAATATTCAGAGCACAGGCTGTGCAAGCTGTGTAAGGTCAGACTATGGAAATGGGACTCTTCTACAGAATTTAGAGAGGAAAATATCCTGGAAATACTGACAAAAATCACTGTCCATGCATTACCAACCCTGTAGGCAGTGTTCAGGGTTGAAAAGCCCAAGACTCCCTCATTAAGAGACTCCAGTTGGATCTTCCCAGTTCCAGTGTTCCCAGGACATTAACAATTCAGTAGAATCCTCAAATCTGAACTCCCTGATGCCATTGATGCTTTCAGACTAGCTTTGCCCTTGAGCTAGGTATATAATGGCACACAAAATAGAAATAGGAGTCATGCCCCTGTACCAGGAGGTTTTAGTCATGCTGGAAATGCTAGGTTGTGCACATATGATAAGGAGACTGCAGTGAAAATCCATATTTAACTTCTGTCTGTGCCTTTGACAGTGTCCTCCAGCAGCCTGGTGCTGTACCAAAGCTCTGACTCCGCCAACAGCCACAGTCAGCTGCTGCCATCCACTCACAATGTCATTGAGACCTTCATCTCCACGCAGATGGCATCCTCTACTCAGTAATCCAGAGAGCTTGCTCAAAGGTGACTGCCATGACCAACCTGTCAGGTGCCACTCCAACTGTCTTTGCCATCATTGTCACCACTGCCTTCCACAGGAAGGAAAGGCTGCTGAGCTCAGCTGACCTCCAGCCCCTGCTGCCTCCTATAAATCCCTTGCTCAGCTGCCTCCATGAGGGAAGATGTCTCAGGCTCAAGACAGAAGCTGTGGAAAGATGATGTTGGCACTGCTAAAATCCATTGCCCTCAAAAAAGCCAAGCAAACCCAAACCCCACAAGCCAGCCTAGAACAGCCAGACTTCCTTTTGTGGCTGCCCAAGAAGGAATCTCATCAGGACAGGGATCTGAATGCAATATGATAAAAATGCCAGAGCATGGGTGGGACATTCATTCTGCTCAGCCTTCACCAAGCTGTGTCTGTACAAACCTGCCAACACCAGACTAAGCCATGCAGGAAAGAGCAAAGTTGAGTGGCCAAAGAAGAGACACCCTCTTTAAAGCACTTCAACTCTTTTGCTTTAAAGAAACTCCAGTGGTAGCTATGAGGAATAACAGTATCTTGGAGGCAAGAGTAAGAGAACCTGGTTCCTGACTGCAATGAAAATCACCATGGAACAGATTCAGGAATGGCTTGGCACAAACCTGTCAGTATGGGATCACTGACTACAAGCTACAAACCCATTAATTCACTACAAAAATACCAAACATTCTCAGTTAAAAATGACCTGCTCTAAAATCATGCTATCCTAGAGGAAATGGTTTGGTTATTTTTGATATAGGTCTGCTTTGTTTTAAATGCAGAAATTAAAGTTTAACAGCAGCAAGATGATTCCAGATCTCTGCATTCACCATGTGAATTTTTATCTTGTGCATCTTGCTGAACAAGCCTGGGGATGGTATTGCCACCAGTCCCTGACACTGCACAGCACCTAGGAGGGTCCCATGCTCCACACAGAGCAGCAGTTCTTTTAGCTGTTCTCTATAAAGATGTCACCTTGCATTCCTCTTACAGAACAGGGTTCATTCTTGCTTCCCTGTAGGCTAGATTCTGTAGCTCTTGATATGCAAATGATTACCCTGGCGTCTAAGAATCTTAAGTGCACTAAGTGAAGTCTGTAGCCCTAAAGACCTATTTACACAATTCCTTTTCTAATTATTCCTCTCTTCTCTACTTACTCTCAACATTCACATAGCTGATATGACACCAGCCAGTCATTAAAAAAATCTAATTGACAAATGTTTGTCATTGTGGCCAAAACAGAGCTATTCTTTCAACTGTGAAATGGATAAAAATCCTTGTTACTAGAAAATGCTCCAGACTCTTAGAAGGTTAAGATATAAAGGGAGAATTAGAAAAGAAGAAGCCCAACAGCAAACTCTTCAGTTATCATATCTAGAAATTTGAAAATTATACACGTCCATTAATTTGCATTGATAAGATCTTCCCTGAAATACTATCAACCCTCAGAGTCTAATTTCAGTAACTAGATTCTCTGAGGAATTTTATCATAGATTTGTTCCCTAGTCTCCCATGTGCATCATTTGCAAATAGATATAACTTCCAGTTAGCATAAATCATCATAAAACAAGTCAAAAGATAATTTTTAGACCATTATGCATTTGAAACCCCAGGTGCTAGCTTCAGTACACTCAAGTTTTAACTGGCCGTAAGACAAGTCACTTCTTCTGCCACATCCACTTAGGTTACAAGCCAATTTTCTACTTAGTCTTTCCATTTTTGGATGCCAAATGTGTTTTCTTTATTAAAAAATAGGAAGGATCTTACAGTAGTGAAGAAAACATCTTGGGTTTTCCCACACTAAAAGACCAAGGGTTCACTATGTCGGTTTCTCTAGCCTAGCCTTCTGGTCTCCTGAGCAGGGCAAATGAGTTAGAGCTACTGAAACCCAACAATCTAAGAAACAGAAAGAGAGTATTTATCCAGTAACAAGTAATTTCCTCAAATGTTGGAGCTGAAGTATAAATGGACTAAGTGCCACACTGAAAACTACCAAACCCACTGCAATTCATAGAGACCAAAGTCATAATAAATGAAAATAAGTCCTCTCTGTAGCAATCATAGCATTAATCACCAAGCAACTAAAGAGCCATTTTCAGCCACCATTAACCCTGCTGGGGAAGCCATCTGAGAGCAGCAAGAAAGGCACTGCTGTATAAAACCTGCCAAATTAAATTATATAAGACTGATAGTGTAGTAGAATTTAATAGCAACAAATGCCATGAAATAACTATACATTAAAAAAATTAAAAGGACACCAAGTTGAACAGAACTACCTCTTGATAACAACTCTGAAATAAGCTCACTGCACACAGTTTATATGCAGAGGCCCAGGAGAGGTGCAGATTACAGAGGGATTAGTAACACGGCAAGTCTCAACAACAGATTGTTATTATGATCACAGGAAAAAAACATAAGGGGGCCCTGATATCTGACAGGATGCTTTTGATAAATAAGTCTCCCACAGGCTGGAGTTATTCTTAGTAGACAGCTAGGAGGAGGCAAAGAAGAAGAGGAGTTGATCACCTGTTGCCATGTAAACCAAATTCAATTAATCATACACTTTCTCCAGGACACAAGATTTGGTTTCCTGATGTGAAGGAACAGAGCAGGTGGGCTGCAGCTCTGAGTATATCCCTCTGTCACCAAGTCTGTATGCAGCACTTAATCCTTTTACCCTAGGTCTGCATAAGCAGCAGCACAGATAACTGCTGTGCCAGCAGAACATTCCCTTCCCCAAGGGACACCAGCAACACAGGAAATCACTTATTAGATTCTCAGGCCACTGAGCTTTTAGAACAGAAGCTTCGCCAATTAATTTTCCATCATCTGCAACAACTCTTTTGGTAGTTGTTTTTTCAGCATCCTTCATCCATCATAATCACCTGTCATTTTCAGAGTAAAATCTTCATTCTTTTTTCTTCTTCTTCTTCTTCACAGCTGCTGGTACAACTGAGTCCTCTGTTTCACTGCTGTCCTGTCTCTCATACTGTCCATTTGCAGACACCGACCATGGCAAATCTCTGCTGATTTGGTCACACTCTGCTGGGTCTATTATTTTCTCTTGAATTTTATTCTCTCCCCTCATTTTCTTTTTCTTTTTTTTATGGTTGTGCTCTACATAACCCTGACTCGGATCCTGGCTGGAATCCTGGGACAGTGCAGGAAAAGCACTTTGCTTCAGAATGTCTGTGGCTGACACAGCAGCCTCCTGGTACCTTTGCCACTCTTGGTCACTGTCTGTGTCACTGGAAAGGTAACACAAGGGAAGGAAATTATGTTACACTTTTGCCTTCAATTCACCCAAAACACAAACAGAAGAGTGATATGAGACCTCCTGATAAACACCCAGTATCTCTGGGACTCCTGTACAAGTTAGCATTTAACCACTTTGAAGGCTGAGGTGTTCTTTACACAGGAGGAGAAAAATCTCCCATAAACATTTCTATTTTCCCAGGACGAAAAAAAACAAAACACAACATCCCCCAAAAAATCTGTCCTAGTCAAACACAGGAGTCATAAATACTTCTCAAGCTCTCCAGCTTCCTCTTCCCTTGCAAGAGTCCCAGCTGCCTCTGAAATGTGGGATGCAATAGTACTTCAGGAGCAAAGCAGCAGACAACACCTCACCTGGAGCTGGGTGGCCGTCTCCTCCTTCCTGCAGGGCAAGGCTCTGGATTCCCAGTGTCTCCCAGGACAGAGGAAGAGAAGAGGCGAAAACCTAAAACATGTAAAAGGGAATTTTAGCCCAAATACAACAGAGAGATGAAAGCAATCAACAGCAGTGTCCCTGGGAAGCCTCAGTGCTGTTACTGTATTGCCATAGTGCTTGTCAGCAATTATTTGGGACTGAGAGGAGTTAGGGCATTGAGGTCACAGCTTCAAAGTAACAGCCTTGACAGGCTCTTAACAGAAATTAATCTATTGCAAATGCTTATGAGTCAGTTGGGTGTACAAAGCAACAGGCAGGATCCATCCCACCCATCCTCATTTAACTAACACAAAAAGCAGCCAGATCTGCAGTTACTAGAACTCACCATCCTCTCCAGAGTCAGACTGCTGCACAGATGTTTGTGAAGGTCCTGATGAATCCTTCAAGACAGTGATGAAACTAAAAAGAAAACCTCAGTCAGACCTTAAGACAAGATTTATGCAAACTGAGCTAGAACTGGGTATTTCTGGGAAAAAATACTACAGGGAAAAGTTACTTTTTTCTCAGTGAAGCTGCTTTATCTCCTTGCTTTCTGAGCAGACCATTGTCTTCTCTCCTTGGCAAGAATGCCACTAGAATGACTTAAAAGCAACATTTCTAAAGACAACCCTGAACACAAGGAATTCTAGTTGTCCAGGGTTACATTTACACAATAAAGACACCATCAGAGGCACACTGCCACCACAAGCCTCAATCAGGTTGGTTTAGGTTGTAAGAGTAAATAAAAGATTCTCATGCCAACTTTTAAAATGATGGAAGTGCCAGGCATCCAAATTCTACTTTCCTCCCCAAAACCCACTCACCACAGAGGTAAATGGAAACAGATTGTGCTGCACAGGGAGCTTTTACCACAGGGGCACAGCACATGGGCCACGTTAGTTCACAGAATACTGGAAGTTTGCATGAAATACAGAAATGAAGGAGATAAGAAGAGAAACAGCTCCTCTCCTATATCCAGGTTGCGCTCAGATCTTGAATTTCCTGGGTTTAGCCCACAAAAGCATCAGTGTTGACCCAGAGAGCAAACTTTTTTAGTATTGCTTGCCAATACCTGTCCAGCATTGCTCCCAGTTTCTTGGCAACATGTGCTCTGAACTCTGGGGTTGTCTGTAGCTCATTTCCATCCTCACTGTGACCATTCACCTCATACCTGTTTAAAATGAGAATAATAATTATCTCTTTCAAGGCCAGTAACATCTGGTGCTCTTGCCCAAACAGGAGATAAGGGACTGTAAAATCTCCTACCCTCTAGTAATCAATTCATACTTGATAGGGAAGACTGCTAAGAAAGACAGAACACAGCTCAGTAGTAACAGTTCCATTCCCAAGAGAGATCTAAACATTATTTAGCCATCTCCATCATTGTTAGTAATTGGATTAATTTTCTCCCTACAAAAGCAAATAAATTGTGTCAGGACATCCCTTCTCCTGCATGTAGTTCCTGTGCATGTTGCCACAAAACCTGCCCCAGGAGAGAGGATTTTATTAAGCTGCCTGCCTGGCAGCCCTTGAAACTGAGCCTACAGAAATGCTGCAAACTTAGGTAGGTCAACATCACCTCAGTGCAAGATTCCCAATCCAAGTGTTGCTTCCCAGCTGACTAGTGCTTGGCTTTGCAATTACAACATTTGTTGAATAATTATTTTTATATGTAACTGTATTAATTCTTTCATGAGACACTTGCAGAGCTGGGAGATTTCCAACACTTTGGAACTAATGCTGTAAGTGACAGCAGCAGTATGTTTTCAACTTCTGTATTCCCCTGTTCCATGAGGGATGAGAAATGTACTTCAAGAACTTAGCAGTTTTTATTCAGATTTAAGCATCATTTCAGATGTTGGTTGTACTACTTCCTAAAACAGAACAGGCCCTTCAAGTAGGAAGTATCACAAGGCATTAACTATAAGTAGAACAATAGAACATTATTTTTTGTTTCAGTGAAATGTAAGTCTGAAACCAAAAGCAGAAATACCTTAGGCTGGGCTGAGCAGGCTGTAACCCATCCTTTTTCAAGCCACCTGGCAAAGGAAAAAGTACAGGCAAGTTCAAAAAACCTGTGACCAGGTCCTCCTTCATTCCTCCTCCTTAATGTATTTTTATAGTATAAAAAATCAAGGAGGGAAAACAGTTATGAGGGGAAAGAGCCTTCCCACCGGCCAGGCCGCAGCACAGACCCCCTGCCCGGCTCAGGGGCTCAGGCCCCATCACCACGGCCGGGCCCAGCCCCGCTCCGCGGCTCCCGGAGCGGTCC